GAGAGAGAGAGAGAGAGAGAGAGAGAGAGAGAGAGAGAGAGAGAGAGAATGAAATGTCTGCTCTACCAATGCTTTGTATACTTTCTTAATGCATTACACATGCGTGCAATTGGAGTAGTGTTGAAAAATTGTTAATTTATTGTTTAGAATGTCTTTTTGCGTCCCAGCAAGAGCAAATAAAACAAAATGTAGCAATCTGTAACCGAAACCTGAAAGGTTCTTGGGCTGCAGAACCTCTTTTACACAGGACTAACATAAGAAATCTAAAAATACAATAAAATGAGACCTTTTTTTTTGTTGTTTTCAAAGTGCCATAGCTAGTGAGGAGAGGAAGGATTGGCGGAGTGGGGCGTAGAGGCTTTACTGTGTGAATTTACTTGAGAAACCAATCAAAAAAGGAGAACTCCGAGGAAAATGTGTATTTGATTACACTGACAAACAGCTTTTACATTTTATGCTTTTTTCATTTGGAGAAACGGGACTCTGCTGGACTCTGAACTCTGACTCGACTGTAAAACCATCAGCTCTACATCAGATTTTTTTTATTTTCACATGAGAATGAAAGTGTTTGTGCGTGCATTTGCATTAAGGAGAGCCACAAACACCCCCATTTGATGGATCATCATGGGTTGAAGTTCAGAGTCATGCAGGGCCCTGACTGAGTCCTCCTTTGAGATGTATATACAATGTGAAGGTCTGAAGTGATTTTTGTTAAATTCTATATTTTATCGCTTTTGTAGACATTTTGTTGTGGGAAGAAAAAAAAATAAAGGAAATTTTATGGGTGCATTTCTGTCTTGTTTTTCTGTCTCACATACATTGTTAGATTTTAACTTTTTTATTTTAGCCAAAGATGGAACAATATCATCCTTATTAAATGAATCCATAATGTATAGGTGCATGTTAATCATAACAGTGATTGCCATTGCCTCAATATCAAAATATACAGAATAATAATAATACAGAAAATGGTAATTTAGACTTTTGTAAAGTCTTGAAAAAACAATATCTTATTACTGCATTTCTTATTATGATTCATACAACACAGCTTAATGATTTTATAAGAATAATCTGCAAAAACGAATTTCCTCCCAACAGTATTTACTTAATACATTGAAGCCTTTGTTTAAATTACAGTGATAAAATCTCTAGTGTCCAGTCACAGACTGCTTGTGATAAGAGTTCACTCTTCCATCTCCCCGTTTCCCCTGCAAAGGAATCAGGGCTGACGCAGGACACCAAAGACCACATTTTATGAGAACATGTGTATGTATGTGTGTTCAAGCAGACAAGTCTCAGTACATGTGTCGGTAAAAGTGCATGTGTGGTGTCCTTCCCGACTTCCTGGGTCAACGGTTACAGACTGGTTTCATCTGCCTCTTGTTCTTCTTTCCCCCATGTCGGCTCTGCCTCGTTACTGTTCTCGCAGCTGTCCGGACTCATTGTTAAATCTGAACAACGGAAACAACAGTAAGCGACATGTCGCTCCAATAACACAGTCATTACCACAAGAAAGAGAATATTGACAGGCCTGGGAGGAAGTCCACGCATCCAACATTAATAATTTGGGTTGATTTGTTGGAGGAATCTTGGAGAGGACACAAGAAGAAGAAGAGCAAACACAATGCACCTTTGAAATATCAAAACAACTGTGTCTGAATGTTTGTGTTTGTGTGCTTGTTTGTTTTTGAGCACAGTTTCTTTCCGAGCAGTTATCCTCTAGATGCCGGTATCGTGCCTACCCAGAGACGTTAATTAATAGCTAATCAAAGCTAATGTCTCAGCAGCACATCGCCAGCACAAAGACATGATTAATATGTAATCAAAGGCCGTGGAGCACAACGCACAAAGCAGGGCCCACCCCCATGCCTCAAACACTACTGTTGTTATAGGAATAAACGAACACTCGCAGCTTAATTAGCTGGCTGTTGGTGTGTGTTGTCTTCATTTGAAGTTGTTGGGGATTTATCTCAGAGCCAACGTTGGCCTCCAGAGTGACGACACAGAGGTGACATACAATTAAATGCGTATACACACGTGCGCAAAAAAAAAAAACCCAATGACAAAAAAAATCCTATGTATACACTATGGGGTACAAATTAAATAAAAAAAACTGTATTCTTCACATATTTTAACAATGTTAATATGCACACATTCTCTCTCTTTCTCACACACATACACGTTAACACTGAATGTGTCTGACCTGCTAGGCCCAGTCTGCGGCAGCAGGCACCGCAAGAATGTTTCTGCAGGAAACCGCTGATGGCAGCTTCTCCGAGGTTATCTGGACCAAAAAGCATCTCACCCCTGCTACCACTGCAACGGGGTCAGAAACAGGGTTTGTCTGTTTTACCAATATGTATTTGAGATCATTTGAAGTTCAAAATGAGAGGGGAAAGGTTTCTGAAACTTACCTTTGATCGTCTGCCATAATGACTGTTGGATCAGTCAGCTCCTCTCCGACACCTGTCAAGAAAATAACACATCGATACTGAAATAAAGGACAGATAAGTAGATACACAGGCATGCTGCAAACACACACAAAGGACTCTACCTTGTATATCGAGCACCAGAAGCTCTCTGCATGAGTACTCGTATGTCCAGTGGGAGAACGCTAGCAGCATTTCTTCCAGTGAACAGCAGGGGGTGATCTCTTCTCCAGTGTTGTTGTTGTACTTCTTGAAGTCCCCGACCATGCACCTCTCAATAGTCAGCCACTGGCCATTGGAATGCCAGAGGACCAGCGCTACATCTAGAAACCTGGTGGGGGGGAAAAGACATTAGTACATGCACAGACACACACAGATGCATGCTCAAGAGAAAGCACACACCTTGGTGAGTGATGCATATCATCAGGTTTGACCTCGTCGAACACTTGCATCATCTTCTGGGCTGCTCTCTGCTGCTGGATCTCCTTCAGGGGTATCCAACACAGGTTGACCATAAAGTTAAAGCGATAGGAAGCTAAAAGTCCAGGAGATTTCAAATTGTGAAAATGTAACAAAAATAGGAGCAATTATGCTAATTGGTGAGAAATGTCAACTATTCCCTGCCTATGTGCACTTTCCTATTTAGGTACACTTACCCTTAAACAAAGCTGCAGTGCTGTGCTACCATGGAAGTACCTCTGCCAGGCACGGACCACCTCCGGCCTGAAGGCTTTGACCACATACACCAGACCAGGTCTGAGCACGTCCCGTTCTGCCCAGGTACACAGCACCCTGCAGCCCCGCCGGAGACCCCCATCCATAGAGCCCTCTTCACTGGAGAGGGGCTGCAGCAGGGCAGACAGGCCTCGTGACGACCAGGAGGAGACTGTGCCACATTCTGGGTCAGCGTCAGAGGACACTTCCTCCAGAGAGTAGATGCTCACCTCTTCACCTCCTGCAGAGAATGAGGAAAACAGTAAATTAAGTGGATGGAAGGAGGAATGGTAATTCACAAGAAATAAGTTGACTGTGACAACAAACAAAAATGTTACCCAGAATGGAGACGGGAGTGAAGGGAATGGTGTGAGCCAGTCTCATCAGATTGTTTCTCTCCATAGCTGTTAACACACAAACAAAAGAGCTAAAATACAAGTATAATAACACACAATCAGATGCACAACAGATGAATCCAGGTATAAAAAAGCTTTTGAAATCAAGTAAAACAAAATGTTAGCCAAAATGAATCACTTTTAATTTTCTGAATAATATCTCAATACCTGAATAGTGCGGATACAAATTTTCCGAGGACTGGAATGAGGCACTCTTCGCTGAAGCAAACAAAACAAAAGACAGAAAAAACAGTAAATCTCACACTAACAAATTAATTCATTATATAAACATATTCTACATGAAATGCATCAAAAGTGTATGTTCAGAAATACCTTCAGAGGCAATCCCACTCTGTAAACTGTATCAAAGCCATAAAGAAAAACATGTGATTTAATTGTTACCATCTTTAAGTGTTTTGAAAGTGTTACGGCCAAAAGAAAGGCAGACTTAGGAAGACCTGTGGCTCATTGATCGGGCCCAGCTGTTCCATGCTGAGTTAGTGGGGCTCCACACATCCTGAAGGCCAATGCAAAGATACTCAGACAAATTATACACTCAACATATCTTATATTTACAATTACAACAGTGTGTTGCCACAATTTGTCACAGATTTACCTGATGGGAAAACACTTGCTTTTTCAACAAATCCATTGGTTCAAAATCTGAAACAAAATTGCTATTTTCAATATTCAGATCTTTAAAAAAAACGTACACTGTAAGTAACTTATACATCGCACATTTGATCATTTCACTGTTCATTTATTCATATGCAGGATTGATAGATGATAAAATCAGAGAGGATTTGATAAACCAACAGGCTCTTTGTCATCTGCTCATCCTCCACCTTGTCATTTCCCTCATTGTTCCACTGTGCATTCTGGTTCAGTGGGGTGGCCTATGCTTACAGTATTACTAATAACTAATAAGTGCTTGATTGAAATAATCTTAAGGTCCTTACTGAGCTGACTGAGACTGGTTGAAGCCGACCAACATGTAGGCTCTTCTCTCATTCTCCGGTACCTTCTCCAGCAGGCATCAGACAGATTGGACTGCGTGGTTGCCTTTTTTTCCGTAAGAAATGAAGAGTCACAGAATATAAAACAAAACAATGAGCAGGGTTTGATGATCCATGCAATAGGCAGTGCATTTCTGAGCCATCATGGAAAAATCAAATGTCATAAATAAAGTAAATCTCAACAGAAAGCTCTGAACATCTTACAGCATCTGGACTGCTCTCTTGTATCTTCACTGTCTTCCTGTTATGGCTTTTGCCTCTGCTGTTTAAGATTTGAGTGAAGTCAGAGGACTTGGACCACTCTATGGAAACAAAAACACACATGAAATGAGATGAAAAATTAGATCAAGATTGACAATAATTGCATGCTTAACGCAAATATTTATGACCAAAGGCTTATTTTTTAGTTTTAAACCATCTGTTTGTATTAAATAATTTGTTTTTCTAACCTCTGCATTACAAACTACAACGTTACCTTTGCTCCTGCTGCACAGCAGCGATGTGTCGTCCCTAAAACTCCTCTCCTCAGACAAACGCTCTTTGTCCATCGGTTCGTTAAGCAAAGGACACGATCCCCTGATCGGAGTGAGGGGTGCCCCTGAGAAAGTCATATTCTCCACACTGGATGACAGGGATCTGCAGTGGCCATAGGGACGCTCGCTGGACAGACATGCCCACCTGGGGGATTTCACAGACCTTCCACATTGGCTGGAAGGTTTGGACCGAGAACTTGGTTGGCTATCATCCTGAGAAAAGGCAGGATTTACCAAACCCTCAGAGAAGTCTCGAGGCTCAGACAGAAGGACAGCATTGGAAGAGGCTCTGGATAATTCTACATTAGACAGCTGTTCATGTGTCCTTTCCTCCTCTTGCTCCTCTTCCACAGAAGTTTCCTCCGGACTGGGATACAAGTATGGCTCACCTGTCCAGAGTTTATGATGTGGTGACTCCAAGCTTCTGGGAGAAAGAGGAGACACACAGCGGGACGGTCCACAGGACTGACAGGGTGTCTGATCAGACTGTGAATCGTAAGGAAAAAAATGTGTAACATATAAACTGTAGAAGTCATTCATTATGTGCTAGCATTATTGTTACTGAGAAGAAGAAGCTGAGAAGACGGTGATAGGTATTAAATCCTCATTCTCTTTCACTTTCTACAACAGTTATGATTATGAAATGACAACAGTAAGTACCTCCTTTGCTCCTTCCTCTCCACCCTCATTGTGTCCTTGTCTTCTTCCTCTGCTCCCCTTAGCTCTGACATTGCACTCCTGAGATGCCAGTCTACTCGCCACCAGACTACTGCCCTCCAGCACAGAGGGCGGGTTACTTTTGGATGACCTGGGCATCACTCGCCGCATATTAAGTACATCACAGTCGGCTCCACTTCTGTGCGGGAGGGTCCAGCTGTGAGGGAGGATGTGCCGGGACGCTATGATGAGTTGACATTGAGCCAGGTGGGCCTCCTCCTGTTGCAGGCTGTCAGAAGCAGAGAGCAGAGTGAGGGTGTCCACGGCCAGAGCCGACAGATCCTGGAGTTGACCCAGCTGACAGTCCAGCTCCGACAGGCTGTCCTGAATGAAGATGACCTTCTCTGAGACCTCCCCCACCATCATGCACATCTCCTCGGCTCTAGTAGAACAAAAAAAAAAAATAATTACACTCTTCAAACAAGACAGCAGAGTCCCTTTAACTCCACATTGTACACTCCTGGTCAATACCAATCAATTATAATATCAATCAGACCTCTCAGATGTGGCTCTGATCCTGTTAATTTGACTGCTGTGGAGAACTTCGCTCTTCTCGTGGAAGTAGGCCTGTACACATTTCTCCTCAAACTCATGGAGCCTCTTACGATCCTCATGGCCCAGGTAGAGCTCTGGTAAAGACAGGTACGACAGGAGAAGAGACTGAATACAAAGACTCATGCTGTGGAATGACTATATCCACACACATACACACTGCGGTACTCACTAAGTCCAGAGCCTCTCTCCTCCCGCTCAGCATCCCCAATAAATCTCCTGTAGATGGCTCTCAAACCTAAGGTCATGTGACTGAGGAGGATAAGCGGCGGAGGCAGCCACGGCCTGTCCTGGTAGGTCATTATGTAGCGATAGCGGTTGTACTTCCACAGCTTATTGGAGGTTGATGCCATGTCAAAGTAGATGTTGCTGTTATTGAGAGGACAACATCAATTTAAATAAAAGTACTATTTATTAGAGGGTCCTACACTTTAAAAATGTAATTTGGAATTTGCTTTATAAACATGCTTACTTAAAAAATGCGATGAGAATGTTGACCATGATGATATACTGGAAGAACATGTAGACAGCCTGGAGGAATGCCGTCAGAAAGGAAGCGGGAGGACACGGATGACCGTCGTCACATGCTGTTAAGTCACCCAAACACACACACAACAGACTTTACACGAGCAACAATCAATACCAACATTAACAGTGGGAATACAATGCAACGGGTATTTCATATGCTGTAACCAATGCCACAGATGCTTAAGGGCCTGAATTCAGACTATTTTTCCCTTAATGTATGATTCAAAATTTTGATTAAGGGTGTGATTTGGCATTGATAGCCAGAGCTGACATATGGCACAGAGAAATAACCTCATCTAAAAACAGTAAAATGATAAATTTGAAATTGCTTTACTAACAAACTTTTGCTTTACAGCAATTTGGCATCTTCATGTTGTTTGCTGTACATGTGCAGTATCAACTGCTGCATTAGTTATTAGTTAATCTGACATTAAGCACCTCAACTAAGAAACTCAAGGCTACACCAAAGTCATCACATGCTTTGAATCAAAACTGGTTAATAAGTATCTTGTGTTTCTCTTGAACCGCTCACGATCTATCTCGGTTGCGTAGACCTCTCCGTAGATCATCCAGTAGGGCTGGAAGACTATGTCTCGAGCGAGGCTCCAGGATGGGTCCTCATCTGGCGACAGGATGGCCTTCCTGGACACCCCGAAGCTCAGCAGCACTATTGCCATCATCACCACTATGAAGAACATGTTACTGGTCTGAGCAGACAGAGAGAGACAAGAGGGGTGACTAAAACATTTAAAAAAAACTCATTTCCACTTTCTTCCTCTCCAACAAGTAGTGTACAGTCTCTACCCACCATCTTAGTGATCATGGTGAGGTAAGGGCCAGCATGCTGGTTGACAGCCAGCAGATCCAGCACCCTGACGAACCAGAAGATGATGTCCAGACAGTAACTGATCCGTCCTGCCGTCCGGTACGGATCAGCATGCCAACGCAGTGTCAATCCAGCCAGGAAGAGGAGGATGGCAATGACATCTGATACGTTCCAGTACTCCGAGAACCAAATCTTCAGCTTCTGGCTCAGCTTCCTCGGCTCAGACATGAGTACCTAATTAAGAGTTACATATTTGGATATTCTTTTGTTAAGTAGTATTATGCTGTATTGATCTATCAACTAAGATGCTTATGCATTGTGTTATGTACTAAATACTTTTATTTGGTCTTCAATATGACACTTTTTTAGGAATACCCTCGGTAGAAAATGTATCACCAATGCATCTAAATAGTTACAGAATTATAACGGAGAGAATAGAAATAAAGTAGAGAACATGTCTCTCTGGCTCTCTCACCTCTCTGGTTTTCTCCACTGCAGTGGACAAGATGTACGCGATGACCAGCCACTCCTGAACACTGGGTTGATCCTGCATCTCCACCAGGACGACGTAGGAGAATAAGATCAGAAAGAACAAGTAGGACATCTAAAATGGAAACAGAGACAGTTAAAAAAATGTGGAAACATTAGAAAAATATACATTAAATACTATACATGCTGCATCAAACAAGAAGGAAATCCTCTGTTGTCAGAAAGAGAAATATTTAAATTGTTTCCACAAGTATTACAACATGGACACCACCTACTGTGTGAAACCAAAACTTGACAACAGGAGCTGTGTAGAAGTCATAAAGTCTTGTGATCCAGGAAAGACACGTCACCGTGGTGGAGGATACAGTTTCTGACACGTGACCAAAACATCTGTCATGGAACGACAGGCCTCGCTCTGCATCCTGACTGGCCTGTGAGAGTAGAGTAGAGTAGAGCACAGTAGAGTAGAGTAGAGTAGAGTAGGAAAAGAGAATGGAAGACAAGAGGTACAATAATCTATTCGGATTTGGGTTACAGTTTGAAAACAGCGCTGGATAAGTACACTACTGGTATTTTACCGTGTGATCAGTTACCTCGTCAGCCGGTGGAGACTTCACAGACTCAAGTCCAAACAGCATTGCCTCATGGGACTGTGGTACATGGCACATTTCAGCTTTGCTTTTAAACTCCAGTAGCAAGATGGCAGGGGGCAGAAGAAGGCTCAAAATGATCTGAAAAATAGAGATAACAAGTGTATCATGTACGCTTGTACAACTATCCAGAAACATCAGGAAACAATGCCTCCAACATAAGCTTAGAGAAGCAATATTTTTTTAATTAACAATTAATGAAATTAGTCATTGTAATGTCAAAGGAACACTAGGAATGATGGTCCCACTGAGATTTATGTTCATGCATTTGTATTTATATGTATCACTCTTTATAGTGATAAAAATACCTCATACACTAAGACAAGAACATCTTTGTTATGACACTTACAATCAGAGACTTAAGAGGTGTATGATTTTAAACATAATATGAATTTTCTCTGGTTAATCTGATACATGCGATGTTCACAATGTTTACCTTCACGAAGGAGTTTTTTCTCATGTTGAGCGGACCGGTCCAGAGATCTGTGAGGAGGGTCTGAGTGCAGGAGTGTGAGACGAATGGTCGATGACATGAGGAGACGGCCATCTGCAGACAGGTGAAGTGACTCCATGCCTCCATCTCTGAAGTCAACAGCTTCATGGCCATCTGCCCATTCTGGCGAAATGCACAGTCTAACAAGTCCACCGCCAGCTGACCAAACTCACTAAGACACAAAGACGGGATATCCTGCATTATGCACCATTTAAGGATCTTTTAATACACAAACTCATAATTGAAATGATTATTAAATGGGTCTTTAATCATGCTACTACAAACTTTATTATGTTGCAATTGTCCTAGTAGGTTGAGTACAGACAACACTCACACACACCAACATACACTCACAGTGAATGTGTCTTGAATCGCTCTGAAATGTGGTCGTCCATGCTGCTCTGCCGTGCCTCAAAGGCCATGGAGCGGTAAAGCTTACAAGCCACTGCCGCACGTGCCAGCGCATCCTCGCCATGCTGCCACAGGAACAGTGCCATCTGCTGCCGCTGATGAAGAATGGCCCACACGAACAGGTCGTTGAAGTTGAAGGGAACCAGCCATGGAGCATCACCAAGGCCAGGGCTGGATGTGATCTCTCGACTACTCCCGGGTGACACATCCTGCTCCTAGATGGGAAAGTTAGAGGTATGGACAAAACAAGCCACAAAGGAATGGAGATGAAGAAGGAGGGATCCCATAAGGAAAACAAGTTATGAAGGGGATTATATTGTAAAAATATATGTTTGTACAAAGCTGTTAGGGCTGCCTTAGAGATCCAAAAGGTGCCTACTAGAGACAATAGCATGGCTATACAGGACTAGAGACTTTCTCAGAACAATTTAATAAAATTTGAATAGTTTCAATTACGAGTGAAGTATTTGAATGACTGAAAATACTGCCAAAAATCCCCACCAACCTTGGGTTTGTGGGGCTGAGCTGTTCTGAAGAATTGCAGGTCCTGGGGAGTCCTGCCCCTGGTAGAGATTGGTATTAATCCCCTTCTCTGTTTAGACAAGGAGGTGGAACTGTCCCATCTACCCTCCTATACTCACACCGAAACAACAATGAGGAGAGTGCAGTATTTGTAAGAAAGGTTAAGCATAATTCCGATTAATAAACACAAGTCAAACAACAGTTTTCAAGGACATCAAAACACAGTGGACAGAGAAAGAAAGAGTTCTAGCTACTTTGTCCTGCAGGCTGATGTAGGCAGCTCTGAAGTGTTTCCGTGTGTAGGTGCTGCGGTACGCTCCTCCTATGAGGTACTCTATCACCAGGCCCATGTCAATTAGAGAGAGACGGTAACCTATGGGAAGAGAAGTCTACTCTCACACACACACACACACACATACACAGTAAATACACATATATTATATAATTGTTTATATGGCTTCTACAGTTATACCTATAGTGTACATAGAGGCGTTTGTATGTTACCTCAAGGCTACCGTAGTTCTCCGACAGGCATGCAAATGTGCAACCTCATGACTAGATTCCACTAAAGCCTACAAACTGCTCCTTTAAGTTTAAGTTAACAATTACAACAACAGGGTTTAGGAGAAAAAAACAAGGTGATATTTTGGCTAGACGAGACTGAAATGTTTGGTATAATCTGATGACTAAAAAGTCAACAGTTTTCCTTGACTAAAACCATAGTTGAAAAAAGTTACCATTTTCTCTGACTAAGATAAGACTAAAATGACTTTTAGTCATCTAAAACTTGACTAAAAAGAACAGGATGAAGTTGACTAAATAGGCTTAACACTAACAAGGAGATTTGACACAGGACTAAGACTAAATAAAAAAAATAGTAATACTAGTTAAAGCCAATAATGTCTGAGTAAAGAGTGTAATTTAATATCCATATGATCATAGGCGTTCTCATTCTCACTTGTCACCTGTTTTGCATCTTCAGCGAGGTGGTGCAGGAAGCTGTCCGTCTGCCCCTGTGACTGTGGAAAGAAACTTGAAATATTATCCAGAGAGTAGTAAACGGGACAGCTACCAAATCAGAGCAAAATAAAAGATCTACTGGTTACTTTATAACAAAGTTGCATATTTCGTACATAGTCGCAGCCCTGGGACACTTAGCTCGTTTCTTAGGGGGACTTATTATCCCAGAGTTATGAATAAATAAACAGGCATTGATACACAAAAGATAAAGGCACTGTGGAGAAAGCCAAGTGTGAATGTACTGATGACAAAGAGTCTTATGATCTCAAAACATCCTAAAACAACAACTGGGAAAATACCCTAAATGCAAGTGACCAGGAAACGAAGACATTATTGGTGCAAAACACTTACAGTGCATTATTGTGATTTCGATCAAAGCCACAGTTTTGGAGGTTGTGCTTCAAGAGTCACAAACAAAATAACTGAATTTCTTCTGTTTGTATACTAAAGTGCGAGCCAAGGGGAAACAAAACAGTAAACGGTACACCAAGACAAACACAAGTACTGTGGGGTGTAAGTATAATATAAATGTAATATGTTGTTGTTTTTTATGTCATTGCTGTACTTCTATTCATGACCAATAAGATAAGTAAATAATACATTCTGAAGGAGATGGAGAGTCGCAAACATAAGAAGTCGATACTTCAACATATTATAATAACCGTGTTATAAAGCTCCTCCAGGCGATCCACAGTAAGGAAGTGGCTCATAGTCATGCCGTGGTCAATCAGCAGTTTGACAAAACTGACTCGGTCCATCACCAGAGCATCCAGCATGACATTCTCCAAGGAACCCACCTGCATACAGCATACAATTATTAGGATTAGACAGCAGCTGTTAAGGACCGTTAGAATGAACAATATAATGTGCAATAACAACGCTTAATTACATCATATATGCAGTAGTGAGTCACTGAGCCCGTCTTACCTTCCAATGCTGTCCGTACACCAGGACATCTTTCTGTGCTATGTCAGCCCTGTCCCAGGCGAGGGCCATACTCAGCTGCTCTGCAGGACTGGCCTTGGTGCCTGTTCATCACACAGAACAAAAAACATACATCAGAACGTACAGTATATATACCTCTGCATTCCTAGACAATACAAACCTTTCTCCCAGCTGACATTTTAGCAGGAAAAGCCCATTTCTATCATTAGTTATTGTTCCATTGTTCCATTTAAGTGCACCAGTAATTCTGCCTGCACAATAACAAGCCTGGAACTTGTAAACCTACAAAGAATGCAGCAGTTGTTACTGTTATCAATTATTATTATTATGTAGTTTTCCTGCTATGACATGTCAAATGTCTGCAGTGAAAGATGTCTATTGTCACAACCAAGAGGAGAAATATAAATACCCTTGAGACTAGTTGTCAGAATGGCTGCATCAGGTGCCGTTTGGTCCTCTGACTCGGAGTCAAAGATGGTTATCTGTCATTCAAAGTCATATTGGAAGTAGTGAGTAGTACATGTTTTGAATCACAACATAAACATTCCCAAATGGTGTTTCACTTACAGACTCTCTGTGATCCATACACTGCAGAAGGAGACTGCAGAGCTGAGACGCTTCTGCTGTCTCTACTCCAAACACATCTCCAATCCTGACAAGGAAGTCCTCTTTAATGTCAGCATCCAACTGCCTAAAGAAATGCAGTAAAGGTGTAAGTTACATTTGTGACATGTCACAACATTATCAAAGCAAACACTGAGTTGACACAATAAGGTAGCTCCATTAGACTTACTTCTGTAGATTCAGTTAGGGACATGCATACCTGTCAATAGAAGTCTGCTTGTGTAGGAAGGCGAGCAGGTCGGCCGCCCTGCCCGATCCCTCGAACACAAACACTGGCACAGGGGGCACATTGCTAACATAGTCCAACACTGTGGACACAATGGCAGGGCCTCCCTCCACCACCACACACACCACAGGCACTCCTTGCTTCAGTTCTACGAAGAAGGGAGGAGAGGGTGACATAACGTCGGTCACATCGAGCCCCTGAGCTTTTCTCTCTGCCTGTAAGTATTGCACAAAAATACACACACACACACACACACTGACTCACGAGGGTGTATCTTCTGTAGACGGATGTGTTTCTCCAGCTTCCTCCTGAGGCCTTGTTGGCAGCCATGTTTTCCCAGCGTTCCATCATCCACCAACAGAAAGTGGGAGTGGAAACCATTAAGACAGGCCCTCTTGCTCAAAGGGTTCCCCAGTGGCTGGTAGGGCCTGAACACCTGAGCCATGGTAAGTGAAAGTCACATCAAGAGTCAAGAACCATACGTGCACGTATTCAGTGTGAAACTGATGAAATCAGCAATTAACAAGATTTCATAGCTTACATCTCTGCCTATGAGGTCCATGTTGTTGTCAATGACTCCCCATGGTGTGATGCCGACTGTGTTTCTCTTCCTCAGGTTGTGGCCCCCAAATGTTTTCACTGCCTCGCCCACATACTTAGACACACCTAGAGTATGTAAAAAGCAGCTGAATGCACAGCAAATCAAATTCAAGAGTATAACTCTTAGACCCAGGGACACAGAGTGAATGGACTGAAATCCTTACCAATGAACAGACCTACGTACTTGAGTTCACACAGCCCAAGAAAATTATCAGGAATTATTATTAGTATAACAGCATCGCATACAGAAATTTACATGCAACATAAAATTAACTGAACATCATACAGGCATGACGGAACAAGGGGTTCTTTACTGTTTCACACCAGGACCAATAATGATGCATATCAGTCAACAGCATCCAGTGTTGTTCAGGAGTAATAAGTGATACTGACCCACACACGCAGATCTTACAACAATGTACATCAACCTACCTGTATTGATGCCGTCAGTGAGTATCCATGCTCCCGTGCTGAGGGCGGCAGTGATCAGCCCTTTGCTGAAGGCCTGCTTGACTTTAAGGGGCAGGGAGAAGTTTTCTGAGCCCCCCTGGACAGTCAGTAGCAGCTTGGGTCTCTCCATCTGCCACTCCCTCAACATCAGCTGGAGCAGCACCTCTGGCTTGGAGTCCACAGCCACACGAACATACTGGAGAGGAAAAACAAGGAACTTTTAGGGACGGGGAAGCTATTTCTGCTTTTCTCAGGTACTGTGTGACTGTTCAGTGAAGCAGATGCTATCTTAGATCATAGCATGCCAAAGCTTGTTTATACAGCAATCATAAGACAGATACCTGTCTTTTTCAATCCTGGACAAGCATATACCTTCATTTTGGGAGAAATCCTTTATAGAAAATGTGAGTTCAGTTATAAAAATGTAGTAAAAAAACACATATACTGTAGAGTTAGTAATCTCACAGACCTTGGCCCGGCATACACGTGTGGCAGTGTCCTGAAAGTCTATGGTCCCATAGGCGTTCGTGGGACTGGCTTTGGTGTGGAGCTCTATGGACCAGTCCTCTTCCAGGTCCTGTCCAGGACCAGGATAGAGGGATGTGGGGGGAAGGGACTCTTGCCAAGAGTGCTCCCCAATCAGGCGGCCACAACTACATCTATCAATTGAAAGATTATGTGATTGAGTATAGCGGGTGGTGAGAGGTGGCAGAAATTCAGAGTAACTTCTATTTTTGTGCCTGCACATCATTCACTGACATTTTATCACTCTTTTGAGCTATCAAAAGTAGGTGTTTGCTTGTGAAGCACCCCAAAATCACGGTATTGTTAGGTAACATTCACAGATACCTGACAGGCCTCCACCTGGTCTATTTAAGCCAGGCTGCTGCAGTTTGTCCCCCTTCCCGTCTCCCTCCCTTCCTCTTCACCTCCCTTTGTCCTTGGGTCTATGTTTGGTTGTGTTTATCATTTTACAGAACACAAAATTCCCACACATCTCTCATCCTCCTAACCTCCTACACTGCTGATAACACTAACTTCCATGTAGGATAGCAACAAAATAAAAAGACATTGGCCTTATCACTTTCCTTGAGGCAGTTTGTGACAAATTAAACAAGTGGTTCTTTTCTAAATTTGCAATAATATTAAATCTGGCAAGACACAAGGGAAATAACAAAAGAGCAAAAAGGGGAAATTATGAAATAAAGTGTGGGGGGGGGGAAAGTAACAAGATCTTCATTGGAATAGGGGGTGGGGTGTAGGAGGGTAATGTAGTGGGTTTGAGGATGGTGTAAATATGCACATAAACACACAATTCATAGATTATACCTGATCAAGTTTTGGCATACTTGACATACGGGAATACATCTGTAAGAAACAGGAAATAACAAATTATCAAAGAATCCACACGGTCTCTATTCCTGGAAGGAAGGGCCGAGTGCCAAATAGTTTTGCTCTCAGAAAAATGTTGTTTCCAACCACTGCTGATAATATCCAACTATGTACTAACTAAACAAATCATCCTGTTTTTCTTCTGAGAATCATAAAAACCTGTACTTTTCTGGAAGCTCATCAATGCAATCAGATTCCAGTTTACCTATGTAGGTCCCGAGATGAAGGGATAAACCTCACACACTCTCTTTTGGAGAAGGATTCCTCAATCCAAGACTTTCGTGACTGGAATAAGAAGAGAAAATATTTACTTACAGTACACAGATCCTGGAGCAGCTAAGAACCATCTTCTCAACTGCATTGTCAAACTCAACTTCCAGGAAGAAAACCCAAGATTGCTGAAAAAGTGTAATCGGTGACCTTTTCGGTGAAGCTCATTCCAATGCCGGCAGCAGCCTACACATGCTGGACCCACAGTGAACTAACCCTAGGTCCCTCGTCGTAAAAACAGCAACTGCACTCTTAAAACCACCTGGTTAACCAGAGGTACAACAGTCAACTTCTAATTGATTTTCACAGAAGTCTTTTCTTCATGCTTCGCCTGATCTTTCAAGGTCTGTCCTGCTCCTGTGGTCCGTTTCACAGAACAATTTAACAATGGCCTTACTGAGTAGAGAATTGTTGGTAGGAAACATACACACATCCCCTTCCTGAGATTAGTACACATGGCTGGGAGGGACCTGGTGTGCTGCCTCCTTGGGTCAGACTGTGTTAGCATAAAACACGGTGCTGAAGGGTAGCTGAAGTTTGTGTTTGTGTTCATTGTGTTTGTGTACATATATATATATATATATATATACACAAAGTTATATATATATATATTTCAGTTTAATGACAATTAACCTCACTAATTCTCCATGTGCTGCAGCTGCAATTTCAGAATTGCCACTAAACTAACGAAACATTAATCACCTAAAAGCACTACTTTAAAGATCCTGTACTATATTGGAATATACATATATATAAATAATTAGTTCTGCAAATGTAGGCCATCTAGTGAGTGGTAGTTTTATTCCAGGTGGTCAAACGTGAGGCAGTTCTGCATGAGACACATTATTAGCAGTCTTGACATTTATTTAGTATTGCATTGTTTATCTGAATTTCTATCACGATTTTCTGAAGAAACGATTTTAAGATTTCAACTTGTTTGCTAACCTAGATGCCAGGCACTGACTTATAATTAACATAACGTTATCATTATCTGGTAGTAACATGGTGACTGCCATCAGATGAAGAGTTGAACATAAAACATACAATATATTTTTAGTCTGAAATGCTTTGGAGAATAAAGTTTCACGAAAGGTAAACACAGATTCGAGGTACAAGTATTTTTAGCTCAACTTTTGCTGAATGAATGATTAACTTTATGTACTACGTTAGTTGATTAACGCCAATTAAAGTTTATAAAGCACGCTGTAGAAATAACATTATTTTATCCAAAGTCTATGCTGGAGACGAAAACTTAAATAGATAACTAGGTACCATGTTTCCTTCAGCCAACATCGAAATCACATCAAAACTTTGCTAACATTAGCTATTAGCAAACGACAGCTCATGCGTAGCGTTTAATAGTTTTATAACCATCATAAATAGCTGATTTATTGATACACCCGCTGGAAACGAGCTGGACTCATTAGTGGACATTAGATTTAGTCACACATAACTTACCATGGCTGCACACTGCAGTTACAAACGTGTATCTTGTATGACTCCACATGTGTCTCGAGTCTAATCCCACCTGTTCATTTAGTCCCCTCACAAGGACTGACTGCCCTTTTATTAGCCTCAGGTCCAAAGAGCAGGGAGAGCCAGGAGCCTCGAGGAGTCCATGACCTCCTCCTCCTCCTCCTCCTCCACACACATGCAGGACTCTTTCACCTCCAGAGCCGTCAACACATGCAGGAGGAAGTGTTGTGTCCCCCATCTTGGTCCTCGTCTGCAGACGGGACAGACAGGGAGATGTGGTCACTGGTGAAAGCAGCCAAGAAGGATGATATAGATATATATATTTAAAAGATTTGTCTAATTGTCAGCCCCTTCTCAGGTACACACACACACACACACACACACACACACACACACACACACACACAGCCAGAGGGTCACAGCACCTGCAAATATACAGACCCCTTCATATTTTTGCACATTTTGTTGTTGTAGATTTATTTTTTAAATGGTTGAAATTGCCATTTTACCCATCTATCTACACTCAACAACCCATAATGAGAAACATGTTTTTAGAATTTTTTGCATATACTGTATATAAAAATAAATCTGAATCTGAAATCTCTCAGAAAAATATTCAGACCCTTTGCCATCTCACTCCAGTTTGTGGTCAAGTGCATCCTGGTTGTTTTTCAATATTTAAATATGACTAATGCAACAAATATTATAAATGCATTTTGTGGTGCACATTTGGCTGATTGTTGTGCTTACTTTTTATCTGGGCTTGCCCCTGATGCCAATCAAAGGCCCTGAATTGGCAGCCGATGGGAAACTTGCAAACCTTGCTTTCGAGCCTTGGATCAGGTCAAGGGTATATAAACATTTCCAACGCTTTCGGTGTTCCCAGGAGCACGGCGGCCTCAATAATTGTGAAATGGAAGAAGTTTGGAACCACCAGGACGCTTCCTAGAGTTTGCTGTCTGGCAAAACTGAGTTAGTGGGCAAGAAGAGCCTTAGTCACGGAGGTGACCAAGAACCCAACAGTCACTCTAGGAGAGCTTCAAGCGTCCTCTGCAGAGATGGCAGAACCTGCTGTAAGGACGTCAATCTTAGCAGCCCTCCTTCAATCAGGCCTTCGTGGTATAGTTGCTGGACAGAAGGCAATCTTAAGTAAAAAGCATGACAGGCAGCACGCTTGGAGTTTGCCAAACTGCATTTCAAAGACAGAGCATGAGGAAAAAGATTCCCCGGTGTGACGAGAACATCGGGGACTGCTCATCACCTGGCCTGTCCAGTCCTTTTGGTGAAGCATGGTGGTTCTCAGAGGCAGGGACAGACAGACCGACCGGTCAGAATTGAGGGAAGGATGAATGCAGCAAAGGACAGAGAAGTCCTTGAAGAACACCTGCTCCAGAGTGCACGTGACCTCAGACCAGGGCGACGTCTCAACTTTCAGCACGACAATGAGCCGGATCATCCAGCCTAGACCACGCTGGAGCGGCCTTTAGTGGCCCTGCCAAAGCCAGGACTTGAACCTTATAGAAAATCTGTGGAGAGACCTGAAGATGGCAATTCTGGAGGGTCTGCCAGAAAGAATGACATTAACTTCCCAGATCCAGGTGGCAAAGCTTGCAGAGACTTACCCAAGAAGACTCAAAGCTATTATTGCTGCCAAAGAGGCTTCTACAAAGCACTAAATTAAGGGTACTGTATACTTATGTAAATGAGAGATTTCAGTTTTTGGTTTTTAATCTGTTTACATTCCTCCTGATGCAAATTTAAAACATACACTACAGGAATGCACTGGCCATTTTGTTTGTTTGTGTTCTTGTTTGACATAAAGGGACTCCCTCTGCATTTTGTTGTGCAACCATGTATTGTACAAAGTCAATAAATGAACCTTGAACCTAAATAAAACATGTTTAAAACATTATAGGTTATTGAGAGAAGATTGATAGGCAAAAATGCAAATTCCATAAATCTAAAATTGCATTTACATTACAAAGAGGTCTGAATAATTCCTGAATCCACTGTATGTAGTTCATTGGCACCTAGCTGGAAACAGCAGGGCTTTGATGTCATCGAGCTGATCAACAGCTGGATCACATCTGTAAATCCTCTTCTCAGAAAATAAATTATTTTCATTTTCAGAACGCAATCAACTGTTCAGCAAACAATCGTGACCGTTAATGAGCATTTCTCGCCTTGCATGGACTGCGGCAGGTAAGTGCGTTACTTTTCCATGGTTTTACTTGTGTATTGTCTGTTAAATGTGTATTTACTGTATAGTGTAATGTGGATGCCGTTTGCTACAATATATCTCTGCAACTTTTGATTTGGTGGCTTCTTACATAATGTATATATTTTAATGGTGTCTTTGAAAATTTGACCCTCTGGTTCGTTAAGTTTTACCTTTTGATCAAACCCTGACAAATACTTGGGGAAAACAAATTTAAGTAAACAATAATAAAATCACACGAGTAGAGAAAACTGTTCTATTGTCAGTACAAAAAAGGGTTGTTACAATCAGCTCTGATTAGCACAAAGGTGTACCAGTAACATGTAATAAAAGAGCTAATACAGCCTACACTAAAGTCTAATAAAGTGTTTTATCTAATGTATCCAACATATATAACAGTCAAAAAATCTATGAACAATTTCTGAACCAGTAACACAAATCACATTAAGATATTATAGAGTGATTATGACATAAACTGTACCCTGCTTTTCATAACTAATCATATTAACATTATAGATTAATATAATACTAGGTTTGCAAGGTAAAGATTTAACACAAAAGAAAAATGTATTAGTCACAATTGTACACCAGACTGTCTGACTTGAGGTTTACTAAAATGTCACCACACTTTTGGTCACCGATGTAAGAGCAGTTTGCTGCGGTGCAGATTTCAGTGCTGCTTCACCGAAGTCACACGAAGGTTCACCGACAGGGCTACTAGGGCAGTCGACATCAGGTTGTTGCATCTCTCCTGGATACATTTCAAGCAACCGTAAGGTGCTTTTCAACGTTTCCATCGGCAGAAAAGCATCACATTTTCATCATCACGTTTGAGACGTTGCTTGCACCTGTAATCTTCAGGTCTCCATGGCATCAGAAGAGGAGTCTTTGACTTTAGGTCGGTCTTTACTTTGGGAATGGTTCGCATCTTCCAGCAGGGAGAGGTTCAGTTCAGGTAAGGGGGCCCTCCAGTACTGGAAGGTGTTGTATGTGCAGTCTTCAGTGCTGTTGTCTTCACCGGCCTGAGAGTGAGCAGAAAGAGAGGAGGATTGAGCTCAGGAGAAATGTGCAAAGAGGCCTACAGTAACATTTTAGACTGGTGGTCACCGGTGACATCAACCTGTGGCATATTTTACCCACAAAGAGTGTTGTTGACGCTCTATCATAGGTAACGGGTGACACCTAGTGGACACTTTCTGCAATTACACCGACTCACTCTCTCTGAACAGAGCTGCACACGGCGAATCTCCCGCTATGTTGTTAATAACTTACTTTATCATTAGCTTTAGGAGCAACAGTCTCCAAACCCGTGCAGTCATCTCGAGGTCGTTTCTTGGAGCCCGTGAGCGTGCTGGAGCTGCGACGGTCCTGGAAACCTCCAGAAGTCTGCAGGGCCAAAAGAGTAGCTGCATGCTTCCTTGTGTCGCAGCATGCGGGCTTGCGATGAAGGGCCGCTTCTTCTTGTTTCTCTGGGTCTTCAAAGTGGTGCGGCCTCTTTCTGCAGCGGCTGCCCATCAAAGCCAGGAGGGACGGCGGGCTCACACCCCCGGTCGGAGCCATGCTCTCCGGCGGCAGGTCAACGCTGCTCAGAGAGAGGTGACATCTTTTGGAGGGAGAGCCGTGCAGCAGAGTGTCGTCGGGACGTCTCTTCGCCATGAGAGTCAGCGCACTAGTAAACAGCGGTCAGTCAAAAACACGTGGGGGCTCTGATACCGTCGATATAGCTGCTTTTCACTGACGACGTTGTGCGAGGATGTGTTCAACAGTTTCGGCCCCGGTAGTACAATTATTGCGGGGGTGGTCCGGATAGCCAATCAGAGAGCACCGCTGACTATCCCCGCCCACAGCCGCCTCTCTTCCTGTGGCAGTACATCCATTGCTAATCCATGCTCTCATTTCATCCAGACCATGTTATTGTCATCGATTCCACCCTGTAAGGACACATATCTAGTCACAATAAAGTATTTAAGAGGATTAACTGTCTCTTTTCAGATTCCCCTACATGAACGTCTTTCTACATACGAATACAATTGTGGAGGGGGAATATTGAGGCTTTATGTATTAATTTTGTTAGCTGACAATTAGTCAAACATGAACTGTACATATTGTGAGTCTAAAAAAATACTGGAATTAGCCTATAAAACACCCACCATGCATTTCAGGATGCAACTACTCTGCCCAGGCTGCTTTGACCACCACCTGACATCATCACCCTGCTTTAGTATTTATAATCAAGTTCTGCGGCACTGCACCCTCATGTCGTTATTTTCTCACACTGTAACTGTCATACTTGGCCTTCTGCTTATTAGACAGGTACCATCTAAAGTAGGTTATGTGCCCCGTCAGTTATTAAAATGTCAACTTGCTTTTTACAAAGCCCAACTTTGTCTCTTAGTTTGATAGTTTACATTCCATTGGCTTCACTTGATGTACATCTAATTTTTCTTTTTTGAACTCTCAAAAGACCTTTTCCACTCCAAACATGTTTGACAATTCACAAGAAGGGAATAAATAATAAATAACATAACTATTGAGTTTTGTGACTCTTCACTGCTACATCGTTTTTTTACGCCTGTAATCTACCTTAAAATTGATGCGCAAGCATGTAGCTCACACAAAACATTTTAAGAAATAAAAACTTGTCCATGAGCTGCGTTAAAGCCATGGTATGAATAAAACTCTGGAGATGAACATTTTTTTTACTGTTTGGCTTTATTACAAAGTGTGATTAGAAACCAGAAGTCGATGAAAGTCATCTGCAACTTTAAAACAATGTATTCTTGAAAAGCTTATGAGTAAAAAATGAGTAGACATAGTTATTGGCAGCATATTTAAAAAAATAAATAGATTTCAAAAGCTAATGTTCATCTCTCTCTCTCTCTCTCTCTCTCTCTCTCTCTCTCTCTCTCTCTCTGTCTCTGTCTCTGTCTCTCTGTCTCTGTCTCTGTCTCTGTCTCTCTCTCTGTCTCTCTGTGAAAGTCAATGGAGATGAGAATTTGTAAGACCACGGGCAGTCCAGCAGTAAAAGGAAATGTACTCTTCATGGCTTGTAACCGGCACATAAACCACTGAAACAAGATAGCAACCGAGGGTAACCGACTCATCTCAAAGCCCAGGTATCTAGAGCTGTAGAGTATTTAGAGATGTGTTTCCTGGTGATACACGTTACACAGGGCCTGCGGAGTTTAGCACCGTTCTCCATGATACGCATCATAAAAAATATAGATGACAAAATATAAAATTTATGTCCACTAATTTTTTTTTTATCTGTCCGTGTCCATTTTCTTTTTTTCATTTTGTCAGTCTAATCGTCGCCTCTAAGTTCACTGTTTTTGTCAAAGGATTTCCTGTCACGTCAGGCTGTCGGCACCTTCTCGCCGTGGTGACTTTGCGGCCGGTGGGGAACTCTGTTGTTGGTCATCTTCTCCTTCTTCTTCTTCTTCTTCTTCTTCTTCTTGACCGTTACAGTACAGGTCTGCAGGTTTTCGTGCCACAAAGAAGACACAGTCGTAAACGTATCTCAACATAGAGCGGTCGTTCTCTGTGTAGGTGGTTTGAACTGACGGTTTCTCCACCTGCAGGAGAAATACAAATACTTCTGATTTCTGAAGACAAGGATTATTGTATGCCATGAATATGAAAATGAAAGTCCTTGGCTTACCTCTATATGGAAGCCAACGTTAACAATCGCTGTCCTAATGTCTTCATAGCTTAGTTCAACTGACAGCTCATTGGCCATGTTCTCAAAGTGGTACAGCAGTGGACCTGAAGGAACATTACATGTAAACTTTAAGATAAGTTTACTGAGACCAAAGCCGTAAGCCCTTTTTCAAACAATTGTACTTTCTAATGAATAAGAAAAATGCACCCGACAACACTTTAAAACAAACAGAAACATTGATGAACATCTTATTCATGGGACATCCGGTTGTTCAGTTTTTTTGTTTTATGTGCTGAGAACAGTTCAAACATCGATGTGATTACTTTGTGAATAAAATGTAGTCTGATTTAACCTAAAGAATAGTGAATTGAAGCATTAACAAAGTGAGCTGAACACCTTGGGAAGAAATGATTGAACAGTTGATTGCAATTATTTTTTTTTTTATTTCTTGCTGTAACAAAGAGCATATTTTGCTAAAAATATGTTTACTCATTTATTATTTTTAACAAGAGCAGACTCACCCAGGTTGATCCACACTCCACCGGGTTTAAGGATCTTCCAGATCGTCTCCACATACTCGATGACATTATGAGCCGTGTCAATGAAGAAGCAGGTAGCCACACAGTCCCAGGAATCTGACCCAAACAGACGATATATTATTACATGATCATTAATGTTGCTAAGGAGCTAAATTCACCAGTGATCAATTATTCATCATTAACAGTACATTCACATCAAAATGGTCCAATTATCTTGGAGTCTTTGGCGTATGTACAATGCAAGGCCGTATTGTTACAGTTGTTTTGTGGAGCTCGCTGAGGGCATTATGCAATCTGAGAGTAAGCTCGGCCTGAAAGGACATTTAATAGAAGACAAAAGTTACTTCTTTCAATTGTGAAAGATCCACACAGCTTCAACTGACCTGATTCACTGTAGACTTCCACAAAGTCCCCTGCTACCATGGAGAAGTCTGCATCTAAAGGTAAGCTCTGAGGGTTGACATCGGGGAATATGATCGGTCGCGTTTGGTCGGAGGATTTCTTGTTGTTGCTAAACTGGTGGATCCAGGGGTACAGGGTCAGAGAGTTCACCGTTTCACACCTGGATGAAGCAGTCAAAATGTATGAGGACAGGTGGATGGATGGAAGTGGTATGCAGCAGAGTAAAAGCTTAGAATTGATTGCCAAATAACTAAATATGAATGATGTGTTATGGTTTTATTTGTGATCATTTAAACATAGTTATAGATTTATGAAGTATAATTAAGTGTGATTGTTACACATCATGCAAGCAGAGACAACTTGCATAAAATGTGTGCATAGAAAGGTGATAGTCCCTAAGTGTTGTGTAAGGCATGTTGGTGGCAGTATATATGCTGTACCTATTGAGAACAAAGTTTGAAGAGAAGAGCATGAAGAAGCTCCATTCGTTGCCCTGGCAAATATAGCCCAGCCGTGCTATCTCCCAGGCTAGACGGCCAAGCCCAGCACCCGGAATCAGCACACTCACCCTAGACACATCACTGACATAATAAAATATTCAAAATGCACATATCACTTGGAAAACATGGAGTAAGTCACATCATCAGAATTATTACAAGATGTTCTGAAACCACAGCACATTGTTGTGTCGTTGAGTATCCACATATCTCACTGTCTTAGCATGCATGCAGGTGTCTATGCGTGTGAGTCTATGTGAATGAGCATATGTGCTTCCTACTATTGGTCATTTGGGAATAGTCTTTGGATCTCTTCGATGATGGGCTGGTAGCAGGTGTCTCTCTCTGCCCGGCCTGTCTCGCTCCAGTCTCTGACAAACTGCTTTATGGTGGACTTCAGCTTGTCCATGTCAAACGTAGTAGATGGGCACACCTTCCGCGGATCCTCCTGCAAGTTGAATGAAAACACAAAACCCATAGCTAAATTCCTTGAGTAAATAACAACAAAAACCTAAGATACAACACCACAAACTGTTTTTATATGCAGTATGTATATAAGCCAAGCCTTACCCTCTCGCCATATTCAATGTTCTCAAACATGTGGAGGCTGTTGTGAACGATGCCCTGCAGGATCTCCTGGTTGTGGTCCGCACACTGGCTGATCCGGGCCAGATTGGACAAAACTTCTGGCAGCAAATCCTGGTGGCGCTGCGGGAGGCTCAAAAACTGACGCTCGGCACGCTTGACCTGCTCCTGGACATGGACCCTGAGGTGAAGACAAGACACAAGGCGGAGAAAGGGCTCACAGGGTGTTTTGTAATGGTGTCCCCTCAGGGATAACACATTCATCTGAGGAGCAATTGGGTATTAGACTGTATATTGATGCAGGGTGGGTCGAACACGCTGATCCAAATGGTTCATATATTATTCATTCTCAGTTATATTTTACGTGCGATTGCTACATCATAAGGTGCTATGACATGAGAGGAGCTAAAGTCAGAAGATCAGGACATAAATGCTACCGGAAACTGATCAAATACCAGTTGACCCGACTGTGGGAAGCTCTAATCAATGTTTGAATACATGTGAACCATCTCAGTTAGCAGCTTTCCCTCTAAACCTAGTGATCGGTCCTTGGCTATAGTGACTTGTTAGCGACATCGTTTATAGACACAAACTGTGGTTACCTGGCTTGTACTGTACTGCAATCTTTGTCAATATACCTGTAAAATCTAAAAGCATCGATTATTCTCCAGAAATGTTGCCTTTCCAGCTTGGCCTCCTCCCCGGGGCTGTGTTTCATTCTCTCTTTGTTCAAATACGGTCCTCCTTGCGGTCCTTCTCCTGTTGTTTCGGCCATGACTGAGACAAACTTGCAGCCGTCCAATCAAAACGCAAACAAAACTTCTTCTTCTCGGAAATTGTTAATTCCAGCAGAACAGGCTCCACGAGGCGTGTTGCTGCCACCCACAGTCGGATGAGGAGACTGCAGTTGGTTGCTCTGATACAGTGTCACCCGGATGAAGGCAAATAAATAAATAAATGCAATAATACAACCCTGCTCAATAATGTACATAAGTGGCGTCCCTCTCCCTCCTCTCAAGGGTTCAGAAACCTTATTATTGCTACATGTGTCCCTTTTGGTGTCCCATCTTTGTGTCCCATGTGCTTGGTTCAGCAGCAGTCAAGTCCCACCTTGTTCAACTTTTTAAATTATATTAAAAGCTGTTAAACACACACACACACACACACACACACTATACATTTAATAAATGCTCAACATAGTCACTGGTTTTATTATATTTGTTATAAAATATATCTCTTTCATGATAAATACCAAATTCTAATGCCTTTCGATAATATTTTGTCATTTAATTATTTTACCCTCTAGTATAGAAACAAACACTCATAAACATTAAAACGAGTTGCTCCACACTCAATCATAAAGAAGGAAACCAAAGAAAGAGGTTTTTCTCAGTATTTTATTTGAGACTCAACAGCTGTGCTTGAGAAAACACAAAATGCCTATTCCATCAGATGTTTGGGTTAATAATCTTGCCCATGAAGAGAACTTTTTCTGTGTTGCGTTCAATGATGACGACCATAAATGGACGATTGAACTTCAAGACAGGGATATGGCGGAAGGACATAAGTGTGATGCCAATGCCTGTGGCAGCTGCAGCAGTGGCTCCAGCTTCATCAACATCCAGGGTAGCTTGGTGAACAACCTACGGAGCGATGGAGGATAAGCGAGATTAGAGATGGAGGGAATATAGACAAGGAGAAAATATGTGTGAAATAAAATAGGCTCCCTGTCCTTACATCTGAGACTGCCAGTTTGTGCGCATCTGAAATGCCACTTAAATTTGCACGATTATCAAACATGTGTGTCATTCCCATTTCAATCAGCACATCATTCAGTGTGTAGGAAGTCTTGATGGAGAACTTTGGAATATATACGTCATGTGTCCTGAAAAAAATGGGGAAAAGACAAACATCTAGTAATTGATCTGACAGTTATAACTGACCCGAGAGGACAAAGCTGAGTTGTTTATACAGTGTCAAATCTTCCATATTAGAAACCAAAAGTGTGAGAAAGATTTTAGATTCTCCCGACCTGGACGTCATCCACTTTAACCATTTGGTGACGTGGGCTGGGCAAATGGCATTCTCCAGTGTTGACATGTCGTCAGGTAACAACAGCAGCATGGAGTAAGAGCTGTTGAAGGGCAGCTGGAGGACTGATGTGTTAATCGCCCTGTCGTAATAGGTATCAAAATGCTCCTCCATATTCATCATCTGGACTGGAACCTGAAAAATGACAGCTTAATCGTGAGGTCCCTTAAATGGAAAAGATACATGATGATGCATTATTGCTGTTACTCAAAACCATTCTGAATAAATGGTGCAACTTTGAACCTTGGTGTTCTCATCCACCATGAAGATGTCCTCCTTGGTGAGTTTGGGATCAAATGGAGTCGCCCACATTCCTGTTTGACGATGAGCAAAAATAAAACACAACTTATGGTTGAGACATCAAATTGAAAGGTGTGACCTCAAAACCAACCACATCTCATCTCACATAACCTCTTACCTTTGTAGTAGATGTAGCTGATGAGATACATGACTGTGTTTGGATCCAGGTTTTCGACCAGCTTGTCTATCTTCCCGTTGGTCTTCTCCTCCACGTACTTATTGATGGTATTGGCAGTATCTGTGGTTTGGGTGAAGTTGACGCTGAACCCATCTGCTAAGTAGGACTGCTTCAAGGCCTCCAGGAACTCGGGATGTGCCTTGAAGTTGTTGTCCACGAATACAGCGGTCCCTTCACTGGTGTCTTCCGGAGGTGTGTTGTTTGTCGTTTTGAGGAGAATCTGGAAGGCCTGATCTACATCTGTCTGCGTCAGTAAGGTGTTGTTGAACCCCAGACCACTGAAAAGCTGACGGTGGGTCTCCTCCCGTGCTCCTGTGGACAAGGCAGCCAAGGCGACAGAAACACTAAACGGGGAGAAGAAGATATTCTTGCCTTCGGAGTCAGCATGAGCTGCTAATTTCATGTACAGACGGTAGGCAAATTCTTTGTTTGCTAAAGTCACCAGTGGGAGGCTGTTGGCACTGCCATCGGATGCAGTGTCTTGATCTACCTGACCATTGCCATGACTATCGTCGGCATGGTGATCATGGTGACCATGATTAAGGTGATGGCCCCTCCCCATGCAGATCACTGCTGATAAGATCCAGATACCCACTGCTCCACGCATCATTGTGAACTAAGACAAAAGTTCAAAAGGGCAGCATTGTTAATTTGGGTTACACAATGTTTGCTATTAGAAGTACTCATTCACTGATTCTCCTAGACCACAAACATGACGATTTAAAGGCCCTAAAAAAATGATTTTCTTAGATCTCTTCATATGAATGAAGGGCTCCTGCTTTCTGCAGACATTAGTGCAGTTTTGGTTGTTTTAGATACATTTCTTTTTCTCTGTGCCTTGAATCAGATCCTGATGAGTAGGGCTGTTTGCTTACTGTCAGTCAAATCTGACCAAACTCCACCCACACAGTCCTTATGAAGCAAATCAGCAGAAGTATTAAGTGTTAAACTCAGAATAAATTATACTTAAAGATGTATTTTTGGATTCACTAAAAGTTATGTTATTGAGAAATACTTAAAGTTTATAGGGGATTTAATTTTCAATTCCTGAAATTACAACATTATATGCAGTGAACCTCCAAAGAGAGGCTAAGAAGAGTAAATCTTGTCATTTCTAAAGAATTTACATTTACAGTTGTAACTCTCGACGTCCAATTCTAGTGTGCATAGTTGTAATTGTTGGCAGAGTAGTTAAACCTGTATGTGAAACACATACTGCTAAAACAATACATCTAAGCTCTCTCAATTCTTTTAACCACGTACCTTCTCCTGGTGGAAGCACAGACAGCGAAGCACAGGCTGGACAGAGTGAAATGTCCCTTTTATAAGATTGATCAGAGCAACTGAACTTTGGCTTTGTTTATTCTTTATCCCAACCTCTTATTTGCTCTGGCCCTGCATTTGTTCTGTGTAATGATTACTGTTGAACCATTGCATCAATCTAAGATTCTACAGGATGATAGCACAAGCCAAGCTGCCGATGTATTCTTCAGCAACATGTACGAAAACATGTTAGTGACGATTATTGTCTCAAGCTCAGACTCTGTATCATACTGTGCCATACAAAAGAAAGCAAATTAATGATTTTGTATGTAATCAGCACTGACGTGTAAATTGAATGCCACACATTCACCAAAAGCTGCATCAAATCCACATTTTTTAATGTAAAACTTAAATCCATTTAACATGTACAAATTGACAGAATATAAATATGTTTTAACTACAAGTTAAAGGCAATTAAAACATGATGCAGGAGATGATCAGTGCTGCAAGTCCCTTTTCAAAAACAATATTAGTACAAGTATATGAAATCCATGTATCCTATTATTATACTTTTAACAATATGCTTGAGCTATCTTTTGTCACATTTTGTTCTCATGTTCTGGACCCATGAAAACCCGATGCTACCAGGCAGCGTTCAGTGTGTGCGAAAGAGACGGCCATCCAGTTTGATGAGCTGTCGGAGGAAACCTCGATTAGGGATGACACCCCGGTTATCTTTCACAGCACAAATAGCCTCCACGAGGGTCAGGTTCTGCTTCAGCATCAGGTAAGCCAGGACCAGGGTGGCGGAGCGGCTCACTCCTACGTGACAGTGCACCAACACTTTGCCTGAGAATTCAGAGAAACATTGCAACATCAATTTGAAAACAAACTGCCTTTAAATGCATCCGCTAACCCTTCTCTCACCTCCTCTGCTGAGAGCCCTGTGGATAAAGTCTGCTGCTGCCTGGAAGTTGACGCTCATATCAAAGCCACAGGAGTCTTGAGCCTCTACGCCCATGTAGGTGATCTCCATGCCCTCGTAGATGTCTGGCTGTACTCCGCGTTTACTGTGAGCTGCATTGAAGATGTGAGTGACTCGATGCTTGGATAGATCATCCCGGTTCTCTGCACTGTGTCTGAAAAGCACAACGCTCTGTATTCACTGACAGTGTCTGACAAGGTGTACAATATACAGTCAAATGTTGCAGGTGTTTCTTGATGAACCATTTGCAAGTGTTGTTGCATGTTGCATAGCGATTGATTGGTATTTTTAAGTTGCTTCCAGACATGTGAGCTGAATTTATCAAGAGATCCGAGATGTGCTTTCATGGTGAGGCATCAGTCGAAACTTTCACATACTAGCATAGCTGTAGCTTTTACACATGTTCCCAATGTGGAAGGCAACTTGTGGGATCCTAAATGACACATTCTGCAATTGAAACTGATTCATGATCAGTTCCTCTTTAACACGTGGACTAAATCAAAGTCTAGACTTGGGCAATATTTGTAAAAAGGTCTCAGTCCACTGTCTCTGTCACAACGCAATAATATTTGGAAAATAACACAGCACAGAGTTACAAGGCCATGCTTCATTATTGACAGCCAGTCTGAGGCCCAATCCCAATGTCAACACTCACAGGTTTTGAGGCGCACTCCTGCAAAGTCTGTGAGGGTTTAGTTCTGTCAATCACCGAGTGTTTGAGGGCTCTCTCGCAGACATTTTGAGCCCTTTACGAACCCTTTCCGTAAGTCAGCATTTCTTCAGACTTTGCTCGAGGGGATTACCCAGAATTCATAGCAATGTGACGTTTAACATGGGGTTACCAGTGGACGCATGCAAAAAAATGTTAAAACGAAGAGGCAAATCACATTTACTCAGAAACATTTAGGATTAAAGATGGAACATAAAAACACATAATCAGAGGAATGAGACTGTATTACACAGATTTATTTATCAAACATTGAATTATGTCATTGAAGCCATTGTGACAAAAACGAGTAAATGGATTATTTGAAATAACTTCTCATTTTGAGGAAAGCGCCTGGAAGACGTTCAAATTAGAGAGTATAAAATAAATACCCACAACTGTACATAATATTGCTGACATTGTAGTGGTAACGTGTTATGTTGCAGCAAAGTGCTGTTACATTCCTATTTACACCATTTCAAGCCCTCACAGTCTCTGGATGTTGGGATTGGGCCTGAGAGTTTTTAAAAATAAAAAAGCGAGTTACTTACTGGTCACCAATGTAAAGCCTTGGCCACACTTCATCTGCATGGCTGATGATGGCTTTGCCAGTAAACAAGAGTCTTTCCAACTCAAACACTGCTAAGCCAGGTGAACTCAGGTCAATTTCCACTTTGCGAGGAGGAGGGTCATCATTCCAGGAGGCAGGAGGCTTGGATCTATAGGACATTGCTGTTTCTGTGGTGTGCCCTTAGGTGACACAGGCGTTTTCCAAGAGGCAACTTCTAGTCCTTTAGAAATACTCAGTACAAAAAGTCAAAAACAAAAAAGATTGCAGCAGTTTGTAGCCACCTAGTTTACCGAAATGACTTCCAGAGTGAAGTTAAAAAGTAATCCAACAAGCTGTAGGGAACCACTGCAGCAAACTAGGCAGAACGAATGGCACAGGTGATTTTAGTTTCAGGCTTCTTTGCCTCACTCACCACAGGGTTTCCTAAGGTTCGTCAGGCCATCCGACCCTCGCATTAAATCCAGCCCATGTGCCTCAAGCCCTCAGGGGCCTGTGTTATGCTTTTGCATCAAAATAGCCGTCTATTTAAAGACCTGTATGCTGCCTGGCAGATGTAGGACATGTGGACCCATGCAGCAATTGCCACTTAACAAAAAAAAAAAAAAAAAAGAAGCAATTTCTCATTCTTCAATTTTATAACAGGATTTTCTTTTTAGGAATGAAATACGCTCATTTATCGGCCCCCACCATCCATATAGAGCTGAATATTTCTTGGATAAATTTGCTTTCTAACCCCTCTTTGTACACACTATAAAACAAGTGAGAGAAAAAAATAAAATTCATTTGATCACAGTTTAAAAAATATACTGACATTTAATTATTTCTCTGCTATTTTCTCACTTAATAATTGAAATACTCATCAGGCAAAGATTCCCATCTTGTTAGAAACGTGCATTACATCTTGAACTGTACAGTTATGCTCCATGTAAACAGAAAGTTAACAGCACAGGGAAATGAACACATTGACAGGCGATCTGTTTTTTCCATGCAAAGCTTGTGATCATATTTTTTATTTATTTTTTTCTTTCCAACTATATAAAACCATCCCCTGAAATATGGCACTCTTTTTTTAAATTTTCTTTTAATGAATGATTGAAAAATAAAACAAAAAACGACTTGTTCTAAACATGAAAATAGATTATGGTGCAAATCTGGATTTGTATAACAAGGGTATCAGTGTGGCAGAAAACACAAACAAGGTCCAAATTAAACACTTGATCCAAGTGCTGTGAACAGCGTTGTCATTAAGCACAAAACATTACTGAAAATGTTGAAGTACATACAGCAACTGATGGAGCACTTAATTCTGAAAATACAATTCACTTGCTTGTCATACATACATACACATATATACACACATACATACACATATATACACACATACATATATATATATATATATATA